CAGCTTGCTCTCATAGACGCCATAGGCCTCCTCCAGCTCTTTGACCTCATCGACGGTGAAGTCCGACTCGCCGTAGAACACGTCCTCATAGCTCCAGGGATCCGACCATTGCTCGTTCCACCACGCACTCTCCACTTCTTCTGGAAGCTCCTCCTGGTAGTAGACCTCGGGGGGGAGCTCTCTGCCGATCCAGTGGATTCGTGCGTCATCATCGTCTTCGTCGCCGAAGTCCACGTCCATGAGGCCCCATTCTTGACCTTGCTCCACCCAGTAGGTCCGCTTGGGCCGATTGAACTTTCGTTCATCCGACTTCCGTTCCTGGTACAGCAGCTCCTCCTCCTGGTCCTGCAACGCCATCTCCAAGGCAGAGAACCTCAGGCTGTTTTGAACCGAAGCCTGAACACTCAGCCGTGCCTGGGAAGGTAGATTCGCTCTCCGCAACAGAAGCCACCCGAGTACTTCTTCAGGCAATACCTCAATGGGGTTGATCTCTAGCTCGTCCCATGGTACGTCGGGATCATCGTCGTCGTCTGAATCTTCTGAATCAGAATCATCACGACCGCGACGCCACTGATGAGCGCCCCATTGATGTTGGCCACTACTCCACCAGGATCTCGACCATCGCCAATCACCATCGTTTCCTTCGTCGGCTGCCTCCTGCTCGTCCTCCGGGAGTCTGGGAAGTTCAGGGCCAGGATCAGACTGAGCTGCGCCTTCCTGCAGATCTCCTTGGTCTCCTCTAGTAGGAGAGGAAGGCGTTGACTGAACTGCTCGTCTGCTTTCTGGCTCTTCCGCATGGGCATCCGATCTCCGGGACGCCTCTGACTCTCCAGATCGCCCTTGCCGGGATCCCGCAGGAGCTCCTCGAGGATGATCAGCACCTGGTCGTTGTCCAGCAAGTTCACCTCGAGCCGGTTCAGCGGGTAGTGCACCCTTGCCCTCATGTCGGGCACGAAGAAGTGACCGTTGCACCTTCTTATAGGCCTCCCTTACCTGTTGAGCCCACTGACTCATAGGTGTCCCAGGTTGTCGACGAAGCTTGATGAAAAGCTCTTCGAGACGGGAACCTGCATCGGGGATGGCCGTCTGTCCCAACCTGGCAAGGAGGAAGCGCAAGAGGTACTTGGTGCCGCTCTTCTTGCGAAGAAGCCTGTGGTCAATTTCGGAGCAGGCTGTCCATGCTCTGTCCGTCAAACGGGAAACCAATTCCGGTCCCAGATGCTTGAGCTTCCGCTTGGGCGTCTTATCGTGCTGAAGTCTGACCTTCCGCAGGTAATCGCCCCAGGTGGTCGGATCGCCGTTCCACGTCACGTACACGTCCTTGGCCTGCACAGTGGCCATCTCGCCCAGATGCCCGGCGAGAGAAAGTCGAGGTAAAGCTCGTTGCTCTTCTTGAAGATCTCACACCTCACAGATGCCAAAGCTGATTATCAACAGAAGACACCCGAGAGTACCGGGGGGAGGATCCCGTAGACACCGAAGGTGAGGTAGCTCAGGACCGTGCCGTAGGGCTCGGTGTTTCCAAAGTCCTGGACCCCGTACTTCAACGTTCTTGACGTAGGTCTTTTCCACAACCTGCGCGATCTCCACCGCGCCTTGGCTGAGCCTCTGCCGAGGCTCCGCTACCAGTTTGACTGGCAACAGAGATTCAACCTCTCTGATCTGGTCCGCGCTGCCGCAAACCTTTTCACCTGCAAGTAGCCGTCCACGCACGGTGTGCGTGTCAAAGACACAAATATGGCCGAAGGAATTCCTATGTAAACCGAAATGCACCGGCGGGTCACATGGTCATGCACAGAAGATGGAGGCAAGTCTAGAGGCCAGATATTCACAGGTTATGCCCCGTGGCCATATCGAAATTGGGGGCCCCCGCGTCTAAGATGGAGCCTTCCCTCGCGCCCAGGCGCCCCCACCCAGGCCAAGGCAAAGCCGCGAAGGAGCCGCCGCTTTCCGGTCCTCGGATGCGAGACTCCAACAAGTCCCAACATGCCAGCCGTAGAATCTAGGTCCTCCAGCAAACAGGTTAGAATAAGGGTACCAACTGTGTTTTTTTTTTTTCTGCAGTCAATTTGAGAAGGGGAACCCCTCCCGCCAAAGAAGGGGTAAAAGAGCACCTAGCTCGGGGACCCAGTAATCCATCTGGGCAATCCATCCGGGCAATCCATCTAGGTACTCTAACACCTGAGTTTTATCCGGTGAGGTGAACATGGGCAAATGGATCCCGGTCAGCTACCTAAGACTTTTCAGGAACCTTGAGCTGGCTGTTCCCGAGGTTGCTTGCCCCGAACACAGCCACCCAGACAAAAAAATGAGTACCACCTAGATTGACATGTCAAGCTGGCAAGGTTGCCACTGTTCGATTGTTTGTTTTCGTTCGGCTTGTGGGCGCCACTTGTTTCGCGATGTCCTTTTCAACAACCCCAAAACCGGCTAATTACCCTCCCACAAGGAGACACCATCCTGAACGGGCAGCAAATAAGCCATGGGCACAACGAAACATGAACAAGTGTCCGCTTCCCTGGACAGCCCCTGGGGGCCCAGCGCTCCCCAAGCAGGGCCCCGGAAGACCCCAAACCCCGCCTCTCCACGCAGAATTGCTGCGGGCCGGAGATTTGGCCTTGCAGAGTTACCCGACGTGTGTCGCTCGGGACTTCACGGGTGTTTGCCTTCTTCTTAGTCTGTAAATTTATTCAACTCAACTTACTGATTAATCTACTTTGCAAGGAAGTTGCTGGTTGTGTTTCAGTTACTTTATCAGAACTTCTGAGATCATGTCACTCTTCGCAGCTTGTTCCGCTTCCTGTTGCATGAACTCTCCTTCAGCCTGCTGTGAGCACCAAACACCTCAGGCGCGCGCTGTCTCAGGCAGCCCGCACCATGTGCCCAAGAAACGCTTGGAGCAAGCATGGCGCGGTGGGGTGCCAACGTCGTGGCAGCGTTCCGTTTCTGTGCTGGGCGGGTGCTGCAAAACTTGCGGCTTCGTGTAGTTCGTATTCTCTGAACACGGCTGAAAGGACTGCCCCGTGGGAAAACCTATTTGAGATGTGTGCGGCAAGTTGCTTTCTTGAAGAACCCGGGTCATCACTCATGAACCTATGGGCATGCCTTGGGCGACTCCCCTCCTGCATTCCCCGGCCAACGGCTTCTACGTGGCTGACTGCTGCTCTGCACGCCTTGCATGATGGGAAGCAGCTGAGCAGGAAGCCAAGCGGCATGTAACCCTCAAAGTGAGGTCAGGCAAAAAGGGCATGGCTTGCCAGTACTTTCTCTCTCTCTCTCTCATGGTTTTTTCCACATGTTTCCCCTCGAAACATCGCTTCTTCACGGAAAACTAAGCCTCATTGGGTGAAAAGGATATGTTTAAATCCACCAAAAAGGGAAATACGGGAAACATAGGGACTTGCAAGGGCTAAATTAACACAGGGCCGTTTCAATCTGCACATGCTTCCACGCTCAAAAGCTTCTGGCCTTTTGCCTATGAATGTGTGGTTTTCAACATTTTGCAGCATCCTGAAATTGTCCTTTGGGTGTCCTTTGGGTGTAACCTTTGGGTTTTGAGTGGGCTTCCTCCTGTTTCTCCGTTTTTGTTCACACCAAACTGTGCAACCCATTCTCTGTGATGATGTGTGCCACCCAGTCAGAAAGGAAAACGGCCAGAGTAGTATGAGGAGGTAAAGGGTCAGCGTCCCAAAATTCGGCAACATTGCATCCGCAAACCATCCAACACACCAAAACCAAACCAGTTCTCGTAAAAATGTACGCCCCTTCAACACCCCCAAACACACGTCGACGTTTGGTCTAATTGAAAAAAAAACACCTCAACACATGTTGTAAAATAACTTCTTTTGAACAACTGTCTTCTCCAAGCGGGTGTGGATGGGCTGTGGTGTGTCCGGGGTTTCCCCTGAAGCCTTGAATTTCCGCAGGGCTCCACCGCGCTTTTAATTCACAAGACCCTCGGGCCAGCCGCCATCAATCACCGAGGCCAGCTCCTGATGGCAATGCCCCGGGTGCCAGGTCAACTGAAGTATGTTGCATTCAGCAGCCATAGCAGTATGAGCTCATGAACGAAATTCTCCCATTCAGTACCTAGAGCGGATGAAAAGTGCAAGAGACAAACGTAGTTGTCTGCTGGATGTTTTTGAGTACAATTTGACCGCTTCCTTTTCTGTTGAACATGAAGGCCGCGCAAGATCGTGACTTGTTATTCTTGGGGAGCCGCCAAAACTGCTCAAGTACAGGATTTGCCTTCTCGCTCGTTTCCCTTGGCTGAATATCAAAGAGACGCTCGTGTGGAAGCCCTGAATTTGGGTGGAGCGCTGTTCAACCAGTCCCAAGGGGGTTCCCTGTTTTCGACACAAAGGCAAAAGATCATAGGATACCGGGGCTGTACACTTTTCAGGGGGCCTGAAACAGCAAACCCTGCAGGTAGCTCAACCCTCCTACCGGGTTTCCTTCTGGCACAAAGTGAAGCAAAGCACAGGCCTGCAGGAAAATCATAAATCAACATCTTCAATTAGATTGATCAAGTGGACAGACAAATGAGAAAAGCAAAGCATGAAGTAATCACCAAAGGTTTTGGTTTTGGCTGCTGCGCCCAGGTTCCTCAATGAAAAACTTACTTCTTGAGTGGATGGCCAAAACGAGTCTGCACTGTTTGCTTCGCCAAAACTTGAGGGGCAGGCGAACACAAGCTAGACCGCCCACAATGACATGTACGACGCAGCGGTTGCTAAGTTGCTAAGAATAGCAACCTTGAATGCACACCCGGAAAGCCATTCATTAAGACTTGAACCTGTGCCAGGTTCTAACCCTTGGCCGAGGGAGGGGAGGGGGCCAGGCCCGTGAAACACTTGGTCTTCGGATTGGATCGCATCAGTCCCCCCAGAAAGAAAGCAAGTTGAGAAATCAATGCTAGCATGGCTTTCGTGAAAAGGTGTTTTTTGTCTTTTCAAGGTCTTAGTGTACCAGTCCTGTCAGTCCTGTCATCGTTTGACGTTTCAATCGGAGCAGAAATTTCGGAGCCCCACTCGCACCTCTTCCTTCCGCACGCGCTGCAGCGCTTGAGCCACCAGCTCTCGGCACTTGCGGCGATACCTCGGATGACGCTGACTGGGTCGATTATGTGTGTATATATATATATATATGAACTCATTAAGGCCCCCCCCATTCCACACACACACACACCTACCAGAGTTGTTCTCGGAACCAGTATGCGATGTGTATGTATTCATTCTATGAATTCAATGAATCCCCCACCCGCCCCACCCGCCCCACCCGCCCCACCCGACCAGAGTTTTTCCCCCCCCTTCTGTTCTTGAGGGGTTGGGGCGGGGGGTCCTACGACCCGGTGGCGGTCTGACGGTTTGGCTCAGTCGGAAGCCAATGGGCCCACGACCTTCGGGAGTTACCTTGCCCCAAGAACATGGAAATGACGACAGGCTAACCTTTTCTCAGCTATCCCTTGGATTTGAACCCGTTCCTTTTGAAACCAAAAGGGAAAGTAGCCCCGAACATCCAAACCACCAAACCAAACCACCAACTAGTTGAAAGCTGATTTTGGGGTGACTGAAAGTGGACCATTGGACAAAAAATAAAAGGTGAGAAGGTCAACAGTGGACCAGTGGGTTTCAGCGGTTGACCACGGCCAAAGTTTAACCAGCCGTCGAAACGACGGCTTTTTGGTTACCCGCTTGAGGCGAGCAAGAGCTGGTGGTTCGCGCAACCAACCCGATCTGCAGACACCGGCATAAAGGTACACAGTTGGCTCGGGAAGGAAGAGCAGAAGGATCCAAATACCGATTGTCACAGTTGGCTCTCGGGAAAGAAGAGCAAAAGGATCCAAATACCGATTGTCTACCCTTGTGGTGTGTTCATTGCATCCAGGTTCGCAACAGCCATGCTTTTGTTTGGCTAATTGGCAGGGAAACACTAATGTCCAAGGGTGACAAACTTGCCAGATCAGATCCCAAAGCAGCTAACACAAACTGAAGGACGGAAAAAAAAGGAGGAAAAACTGCCTTCTCCAAACCCTGTAGGAAATCAACATTCGAACAAAACATGATTGCCATTCCTGATTCGCAGGAACTTTGATTAGAGGCCCCGAGTAGGAATCCAGTAGCCACTTAATAACCCTCCAAGGACTTACCCTACAGCTGGAAAGACGCAAAAAATAGTTAAAACAAAATAAAACAACATACAAACAGAAGAAAAACAACAACGACCACCTCCCCTCCCCCCCACCGAACCCACCGAACCCACCAGACCTCACCAGACTCCACCGAGGCCGCCGAGGCGCGCGCGGGTGGCCGCGAACCGGGGCTCCTTCGCCTTGGGCGCTGGCGCCGAGAGCTCCTCGTGCCACTGGGCCAGCACCGCCTCGGCTCCAGTGGCGCGAGGCGAGCGGCGCGAGGCGCCAAGCCGTGCTTCTGGGGCGTCGGTTGGTTGGTGTTGACTGGCCTTGTTATGGCTTCAAGTGTAGAGCTGGCAGCTGATCTATTCTATCAGATCTATGGCGAACTGCAAGAATATGGGGTCTAACAATTTAGGATGGCTTCTGGGGTGGAACAAGGGCAGCTAATCCATGATTAAAGACAGGCCCAGGAATATAGAATGATGACTTTATGGCTTGCTTCACTTTGAGTCACGGGTAAAATGTAAAATGTATCCTAAGTCTACCCCAGAATCTAATCCACCAGTCAACCCATGGCTAACTGCAATAGCATGGGGTCTAACAAGTTGGGATGGCTTCTGGGGTGTTACGAGGGCCCGTAGATTGGGAACTCGAAATCTCATGGTCGTTTCCCCTTCAAAACCAGAGGGTCCCTTGGTATAGTCCGATACTCAACCCAGACCACCAATCCAAACCTCCAATTCCGATGGCACCCTTCGCCCCGCGGCTCCCCTCTTGGCTTCTCGAGAAGCGAGTGGCCACCAGGTGCCGCAGGGCCGTCAAGGATGGCATGCGCACGCGCTCTGGAAGCCTCAGGTGATGGGCCAGGCTCCCCAGGCTAACATGGAAGCTCCCTGAAACTTTTTTTTGGAAGACCTGGTTCCATTTGCGGGAGCTTCCATGTTACTCTGCGGGAGTCTATGCAATCTTTTGTGCCTTGAGGATTCCAGACATCTGAAGCAAATGGATATGTCAAAATAGGGACCCAGGCGGCATCCCCAATAGCAACGGAACGCTTCTGGAACGCTAGGACTGCTTTAGAGCAGGGGGGCCAATCATGGCTCAATCATGGCAAATCAGGCCCAAATTGGGCATGGGTTCGTTTGCAGATTCGTAAGGGTCCAACATATGGGCCATTAACTCCTATCGGTTTCCTTTGAGGACCTACAGCATATGGGCTTTTTGCTTGGGGGACGAAGGGAAACGGCCCACTTCAGCGCCGCACTCCTCCTTCATGGCCCGTGGCCCACTTCTGGGGCACACCAAGAACTATGCGCAGATTCGGCTTCCTATTTCGCCTGCCTTATTGAACCATTTTGGAGGAGGCGCGGCTAGTGCGCAGCCAGGATTGGCAACCGTATGAGCCAACATTCCTGTCCTCTCAAAGCCTTCCACTATATCATTCACGCACTAACGTACAAACGTGAGACGCCAACCGCTGCGGCTCAAAGCATATTCCTCAAAAGTTGACACCCTCCCAACAATCATGGAAGTGCACACACCCCGCCGATTGGGAAAAAAACACACACCCATTGCCCAGCCCCAATCCCCGTAAGCAACGCGACCAAACGTTGCAAAGGACCAAAGGGCACCACAGGAGCTCCATCTAAATCCTGAAATTCGCTGATAAGCTGCTGCCAGGCGGCGTGTGAGTCTGCTTCACGTGCTCTGCAATGTCACCTCGGGGGCTCGGGGGCATCAGGGGCTTCCCCACTTTTCTAGCTGTACCCTCCCCATTCCCACTTTTCTAGGGATCATTGTCAAGAAATAGGCCAAACCCCTGGAAAATAGGTGGTTTCGAAAGAGAACGATGGGTGAAGAGAATGCGGAATCAAACCTTAGAACTTTTGGTTTTCCCAAGGTAGACTTAAACCAGAAGATGGTTCCTCCAGCAAAATCATAAGACCTGGCGCGGGCTCAAAACAAAGCAGGCCCAAAGCAACCAACACCACTGAGAAACACGGAACGAAAACAAGATATTAAAGCAGGCACACAAACACCGCGACTGTGCCTGAAGCACCCCAACCCGAAACCCTAAGCCTCTCCTGCACCATTATAAGCATCTGTTCTGTCTCCCCACCCGCTTCCAACATGCACCCCAAGATGATCCTAGAAGAAATGCAAAGCACGTTGTGCTCAGCTTGGATGCACCCTGTACAGCACGGCTCATGGTGAAGACTAGTTCCTTATTAGCCTATGGGCATGTTTTGGATCATTCCAGCTGCTCGCCAAAAGCCACAAGCCCTGTGGTCTTGGATCCAAGATTCCCGCAATTCAAGGTTCCATGTTTTATGCCAAATTCAACCCAGGCGCTGATTGCACTCACAGCAAACTTGGCCCCGCACACACGAAACACAACAGCAAACAAATGCCCAGCTGGCATCCCCAACAGCAACCCCCGTGCACCCTTCCGGAACCCTTCCGGAAACCTAGCCCAAACCTGCTCCAAACCACTGCAGAACCACCTTTCAGCTGTTGAGAAAATGCGAAGAGACAACAATCCAACAATGGATTGAAAACAGACCAACCAACACCAAGCAACAAACCTGAGTCCTCCTGGTGATTCACAGACCAGAGGAGAAACAACATCCACAACGCATCGCCCTGCCGAAATTTTCGGTCGACGTTTCTTGGCCCCGTGCGCAGCTCCGACTCCGGCATCGCCAGCAGGTTGCTGGTGACGTAGAGCTCGGAGAGGTCCAGCCACCCAGCCCTGATCCAGAGATCAACCCTAGACCTAGGATTGAGATCGTGTCTATCATTCTAGGGGTTGATTTTCCTTTTCCGTTCTTTTCAGCCATCGTTCTTCTCAAAAGCCAGCCGTTTGGGCCAGGGTCTTTGGTGGTTCTTTTCAAAAACCGATCGCCATTTGCCCACGGTCTTTGGTGTTTTTTTTTCAAAAACCGGCCATGTCCCCAGGGTCTTTGGTGATTTTCTGGAAAGAAGGATCCTGGGAAAGAATGGGGAAGTTACCATTAGAATCAGTTTAGGCAAGCGCAAGCTGTACGTTCACCCAATGGGGGGTTGACCATGTTTAGGGCAACCACCAAACAGAAAGGCTTGAGAGCCACTCAACTGGGATTTGTCGCAAGCCGGGGAGATGTAGTGCGCTGGGGAACCTGTATTTCTCCCTTGCCGTGGTCAATGTTCAAACACCTGAAATTCACCGGGCCTTTCAGGATCAAGGTTTGTTTCTGGAATCCAGTTTGGCTCCTAGTTGGGGACCCAATACTGCCTGTCAGCCGAAGTTGGGAAAGGCATGGAACGTTCGGGCCAGGAGGGCCTACCCTTTCTAAAGAAAAAGCCCGCGCCCTGCAAACGAAGTGGTAAGGGGAACATGACCAACCCCGGCCTGTCGAGGCGGAGCACTGCAAAGGGTGGCAAGTCAGGCAAAGCCGGATTGGCCGCCTCCTCGCCAAAAGGCAGAAAAAGCCAGCGTTTGCGCCTGCTATCGGCCGCTTGCCCAATGCTATGAAACTTCAGCGAGCCCTGCTTGAGCTCTTGATGCCACATCACGGCAAAACAGGTGCCATTCGCACATTCCGATGGGCCAGCCAAAAACCGCACGTCCCCTCCAAATCAAAGCCAAAGCCGCCACCAATACCGTGCCGTTGCCGGCAGCTGCAGACATGCTCTGCGTCAAGCTTTCCTTTGGGTCCGAAAAAAGTCGATCAGGGATCCAGGAAGCCAACTTAACTCTTCCCAAGCCCTCCTGGACCTGCTTTTGATATTTTGTAAGAGGGTCAAACCCACACTCACCATCTGCGAAATATCTACTACCATTTGACCCATGCGGAGGGCACATGTTTGTAAGTATTCCACATGGGTCCCAAACAGGTGTCGGGGGAAACTGAGAACTGCCACAATTTTTATTCCCTTCAGGTAGGTCAACATACTGGGCTATGGGTGCAGCATGTGTCCAAATGCAGGAACCCTCCAAATGGGTGTGGAAGGTGAGCAGAGCCGACTCAAAAAACCATACCCATCTCAGGTCTGGGGGTCACTTGTGCGGCAGGGCGGCATGACGCTCCAGGAAGTGGAGCCTGCAAGGCATCGGCGCGAGGGAATGTCTGGGTTCCACAAAGGATACATCCAACCACCTGCTTCACACGGATTTGGAGCCTGAGAGCAGTTAGCTGGATGACCGTTTTATTGGCTGCATGTATTTCTGTAGTTGATTGTTCTTGAGGTGAGGCTCGGTACCCCTTTCAGGGAAACCAATCGGAGAACCAAAGCAAGCCGAAATGAGGGAGGGTCCAAGCCCCTCTTTTGACACATTTCTATTTGGGACCTGCACGCATGCGAAAGGGAAGGCGGAAAGGAAATCATTCTTGAGCCCGCTGAATCCCCAAAGCAGCCCTGAGTGGGTGTAAACTACGCGTAAACTTTCGTGATGGGAAAAAGACAAATCCCGGGTAATTCTGTTCGAAAGGAACTCCAGCACTGCATCTGCTTCTGCCGCAGCGTTTTTGCAACTCAGTCGTCCCTCTTCCATAGACTGTCTCCATTTCGCACCATGGCGAGGACATAAACAAGAAAAACTGTGATGCATAGAATAATAAAGCGAGACTGCAACATCCAGATGTTTGTGCAGCCTGGTCTTTCTTTCTCTCACTTCTTATCTCATTCCATACTGAACCCTCACGTCCTTTAGGAGCTACAGCATAGAAGAAGTGAGGAGTGTACATTTATTTGCAAGCCTCTATTTGCTGAGGAAAGAAGGGAATGGTCGAAACACATGCACATGTTCATCAAAAAACACTCTTGCCGGAAACAGAGCATTGGGTTCAGAAACATTTTAAGACCCCTCTTGCTTGAAAGTCCATGTAGTTGTGCAAGTCGCCACACACGCGGGACACCCACATCCCCTGCTGAGACCCGTTTGAATGCAGGCCTGGAGGGGTGCTCCTGACCTTTTCAACCTCCACAAATCGAAGTTTTCTCAGGGATTGTCCAGCGCAAAGGTTTACTCCTCCGCATATCCGTCCCTTCGCCAATATCCAAAATCTCCTCCGCGTGGTCTTCTAAAGTGTTGGATGAATTTGAACATGGGTTGCGCTGCCCTCTCCCCGCACAAAGTCCCACCATAAAAACAAGATGGAAATTGTGGGGCCCCTATGCCTTTTAGAACGTCGATGTTTGCGCAACCCCAGGACCTCCATAGTTTTAACTTTGGGTTCTGGAGGGTGCTACTTAGATCGGGCAGTTCCCTTTTCGTCACTTTCTGGCTTTCGGGCTTCTCGGATGGGGCTCATCAACACACAGGGCCTCAGAAGCACGTTCCGTAGCTCGTCCTCTGGAGGCGCTACCATGGCCTGCGTGCACACAGTGAAGGGGCTGGAGGTCTTGGGCTTTGGCCAAGCCAACTCGGAACCCGACAATAGTTTCAAGGGGCCCTGGAAAGCAGCCGCCTTGTGGCAGTAAGGATCTTAGAACTCCCAAAAGGATAACACGTCTAGGGCTACACCCTTGGCAATGGCTGATGGACATTGCCACAGCAGAAAGCCCGGACAGTGCTTGTCACCAGGACAGGCAAGAAACAACCCTTCATTGAACGGAAAAAAACAACTTGGCCATCAAAGGATGGCAGATGGTTTGGGCCAAAGCGGCGGAAAGCCTGGGCGGAAATGGGCTGCGTTTGCTGAAGGCCAAGCCTTCAAACTGCACTGGCTTGCTGACCACCAACCCCAGGCAATCGCGGTGTTTGCCATGGCACATGCGAGCTCCTCCAGATAGAGAAAATCACACACGCAAGTTCAGGGCTCCCTTGAGTAGAGGGATCTCACATGCGTGGTTTGCCATGGTGTTCCTCTTTGTTGCCCTTGAAACCTAGGGTTAAAAGGGTACCCTCAACAAACCACACACACACACACACGGACGTTCTCAAAAAACGAATCGGTCCCCTACAATAGCTGGCTTCCTCTTGGCCCCCCTTTTTATTCCATCCAGGGTTCGCCACTTTGTGAAGCACTACTGTGGATGGACAAAACCCTGCACCAATGCAACCTCTCAAAGCTTGCAGTAAATTAAGCCGCCTACCCTGGTGCATTGCCCTCGTCTTCGTTTCGTTTCGTTGGCGTCCGGCGTCGTTCCCCGCGACCAACGCCGGGCGGAAACGCCGAAACGCCCGCGCCAGCGGCGTGAGGATCTCCAGGGGCGAGCCGTCGAGGAAGAAGCCGAAGGTGAAGAGCTGCTGCTCCTGAACTCGGCTTGGGGAAAAATGTTTGTGCTTGGTTTCTGGGCTGCCCGTTTTCAGAGCCCCGGCTAAAGGTTAAATTCGGAAACTACCACTAAACACTAAAAGGCTAAAAGGCGGCTGGGAGCCACCAAGGTTTCAAAGGAACGCGGAAAGGACATGTTTGGCTCCCCCCCCCCCACGGAGAAAAAAAAGAAGACCCAACCCCTTTTACCGGAGAAGGATGGAAAAGGAGGCCATGAAGGAAGGCTTTTTGAGACACGGGTCGATCTATGAAGGCTACCGCGTTGCACATCGGCCATACCTCTAAAACCAATACCTGGAAATGCCCAAGGCTGGCCTGACAAAGACGTGGGAACCAAAACAGATCCACGTCCCTGCGTTACCTTGAGGGAAACAATCGAAACTTCAATGATCGACCTTTGGATTTTCAGGAGGGACGCAGGGCACGGGCTCGGCCGGAAGCTTGACGACAACTCTCAGCAGGGCTTCATTCGGACAAGGGAGCGAATGCAACATGTCTTGCGTCGAACGCCATTGCTCTTGGTCAGGCCGGCTCAACGCGTTCTGTGTTGAATGTCGTTGGCCTGCTTGGTAGGACAATCGGTGCTAGATAGCACGTGTCCGAAGGATTGAATCGAAAGCCATCGCCATCCGGTTGATGCCCCGTCTGGAGTTCTGTGTTGCACGGCCTGCAGCTGATCAATAGATCTGACCAATGCAAAGATATGTAACACGTTCACAATCTTGCAGGCACACTCCCTGTGAATCAGCACAGTTGACAACGTGCGATTATACGACTATATCGTCTTATCGAACACCTCCAAAGCGAGTAAGGATCCTGCCTGCCAACCCTCAAAAAAACGCGGTGCCGCAAGGGCAGGTTGCCAAAAGCCCGGACGAACCAGCTTTGGGAGTTGTCCAAAATGGATTTGCAGGGCAACCCGCTGAACTGGGATGGGCTTAAAATGGGGAACTCTTGCTCAACCAAACCTGTTTTTGCTCACCCGACCTGTAGACAAAGGCATGTTTGCAACCCGCTACGATTCGCCTGGCTCTGCTCGCCATAGCTGATCGTGACTTCCTCCCCGGCCTGCGAAGCAATTCTCAATTGGAAGGCCGCTGTGTGGCCCTGAATGTGGATTCTAGAACGCTTGTGCCAGCTGAAGACAAGTTATACTGTCCAGTGCTTCTGATTGAAGGTCAGGTGGGCGTGAGGGGGGGAATTGTTGTTGCGCTGCCTCCTTTTTGGGTGGAGCCATTCGAGAAACACGAGCGATGAAATGCTTCAGCCCCAACTGGTCCGAATACACTTGCGTTCATTGTTCTCACTCCGAGTTTCAGCGCCTGCGAGAGCCGTGACACGGACAAAACCTGTAGCAAAGCAACGCAATGAAAAATCAGCTTCCAAGGGAAACCATCTGGCAGCATCTTGCGGAGTCCTGTGAGCCTCCGCTTGCTGACCCAAAGCCAAGAGCGCTTCTGATTGGCAGCAATGGGCTGAAGGATACGGGGTGAGGGGGTAGGCTCTCGCTTTAGGGTCGCTTCCACCAAGAAACTGAGCTGTCCTCAGATCCCCCGCCAAAAGATAAACTAAGGGGATGGCTGGGAGCCACCAAGGTTTGAAAGGAACGCGGGAAAGGACATGTCGTTGCCCCCCCCCGCCCCCCGCGGAAAAAGACAAGGGAAACGGATGGAAAAGGAGGTATGAAGGAAGTATGGGTATGGCATTTTGAGACACGTGTCGAGCCCACATCACTGCCTTTAAGTCCCTGGAAGTCACCAGCTCGATAAAGTCACCGCAGAGTCTGCAGCTGGCGCTAGGCTCCTGGGAGAGGCGGCGCTCGATGCTCGCCCTCACTCAACAGTATGTGACGTAACCAGGCACCAGAAACCAACATATATATATATATATATGATATATGCATGCATTGCTGCAAAATGTGCCCCTCTTTATCTTTGTCTTTCTTTCTTTCTTTCTTTCCTTCCTTCCTTCCTTCCTTCCTTCCTTCCTTCCTTCCTTCCTTCCTTCCTTCCTTCCTTCCTTCCTTCCTTCCTTTCCTTCCTTTCCTTTCCTTCCTTCCTTCCTTCCTTCCTTCCTTCCTTCCTTCCTTCCTTCCTTCCTTCCTTCCTTCCTTCCTTCCTTCTCTCTCTCTCTCTCTCTCTCTCTCTTTCTTTCTTTGCTCGCATTGCGTTCACCGACGTTCAGCTTTGCGCCCACGCCTGTCTCACGTTTTTGAAATGAGATGTTTCAAGGCGGTTCGGCGGTTCGCGTGCACGAATCATGACAAAGCAACGCAGATGCATTCACCCGGCCCGTCCATCAGATCTAGACAACTCTTAAGATGCCCGAACTGTGGATTTCACCAAAAGCTGCACTCTTTTAACACATTCCCAGGCAGAATCCACAGCTTGGGCGTCTAGCGCAAACCCTAGATGACATGCGGGAAAACTCCACACGGAATCTTCGCTGTCATTGGCGGATGTTTGACGGGCTACACCAACAAGTATATTGTCAGATTCCGCTTCATATGTAGCCTTCCGCCGAAATATGCAAAACATGGAGGAGACTCCAGGGTGCATCATTCGCTCACTGCTGGTTCTCTGGCCTCTGCAGTGTTCGCAAAGTCGAAGAGGGGAACAATGGCGAGGTGTCCTGGCTCCTGGCAAGGATTCCGCGGCAAACTCCCCTGCAACTTGCCGCGGAACCAAAAATGAAGGTTCCTCTCGAAATGATGCTGTGGTTGTCCCCGCTTCAGCCGCAAACAACCATAGAGATTCAAGGCTTGTTTCGGCAGACTGGCCCACTTGCTTCGAAGAGCTAGCTACCAGAAAATTCAGGTGGCTCGGCCACCCCTTGTCCTGGGTGTGGACAAAGGTCAATAAGAATTCACCAGTCGAACTCAAGAAGGCGTATTTCCGTTGGGCCTGCATGCCGAGTGACAGTGCGCTCCCCACTCGCTATGAAGGCCAACTTGAGAATGGACGGACCGAAAGCTGGCATTTTGCTAAAAGTGCCCGAGCTGCTCTACACAAGTCCAATGTATGTGGGCAAGATGGCTTTGGATGTAACGGCAGCAGGTGCGAGACACGTCCAGCCCAGGCAAACCAGGAGCCTTGAAATAGAAAGTCTAAACAAACGGCAAAGCATGCGTGCGCCGGCAATGTGTAGTGACAGGGTGTGGCAAAACAGTCCAGCCTGGAATCAAGCTCCAGCTGTTTTCAAACATCGGCAAAATGCATCCGTGGACCGCCACAGTCTTGTCACCCACCCCCACAGACAAACCTCAAGCAAAGCCTCTTCCACGCCAGGCTCGGGATAGATATCAACCTGAAGAATATGTGCGTTCATGTTGCCTCTTATTTGACAAGTCCACATGTGCCTTCGGCCCGGTTCCCTGCATTGCCACGCCTCCGTAGTTGGTAAGCCCCGACCGGCCCTGCACAACATGCTGCAAGTGGTCGCATGAACTCGAGTGGGATGGATGGTTCAGTAGGGGCAACACCGTCGTGTTTTCCATTGTTTTCCATATTGGAACCATAATGAAGCAGATGTAAGTCCAGATGCCCGCTATCCCACTAACATGGCACTTGGCAGGGGTCCATCCAAGAGGAAATCGGTCTTCCACATGCAGTGAACATCCCAAACCCCACTAAAATAGACTAAGAAAACGAGTTGTGACCTATCCCAAAAATGCTACCATTGGTTTTTGACCCACAGCCAATTGAAAGCAAGTGCCTCAGCCACAACTCATAGCCGTTCCTGCGGAATGCCCCAGGTCCGTCCCGCGCCTTGTCAGCACGGCGGCGTGGGCCCAGCGCCACCTCTGCGCGCTGTAGGCGGCCTCAAGCCGGTCCCCCAGCTGCTCCAAAGCCGCCTGCCAGGAGTTGCTCGCCTTCCCCTTTCATGTTAACCCCGGATCTAAGTAGAACCCCTGGTTGATTAACCGGGTTTGTTAATCCTGGGCCAACAGTACGCACAACCCCCCCACCCCCCAACAAGCGAGGGGAAGCCAGAAGTTGGATGCTTCCAAGGGATTGAACCATGTCAATCCCAGAGAAGGAAAGAAAACAAAACATCTGCCTAATAAAACGCATCTACACCCCCTTTTCCCCTCCCGGATCCTCCCCGCCCCCTGCCCCCCCCCCCCCCCCCCGACGCCTGGCGGTCTTCCTCCTCCTTGGCCAGCAGCAGTTGCACGAAGGGCTGCAGCGCTACGCCCCGCAGCTGCTCCTCCGCGTCCTTCGTCCGCGTTTGGGGCCCCGGCGGCCGGGGGTGGTTTGGGGAGGGGGGGGGGGGGGGGCTGACCGCAAGAGACGCTCTAAGGGAGGGTTGGGTGTGACTTGTTAAGGGAGGGTTGTAGGTTTGTTTTGTTGTTGAGATGGTTTAATCCCTTGGAAGGATTAATCAAGGGGGGGGGCACCTTGCTGGACAAAAGAACTTGGGGTGGGGTTCATGTTCACCACCCGCCTGACATTTGTCCTCAAACGTTTTTGGCACTATTTTCGATTCTGGACTGCCAGCGGCTGTTGGAGAATAAGGCGCCCTGTTCCTATGGTTGTCACTTCTTTTAACGGGGGCCCCGAATCCTAAGTCCTAAGTGCTATAAGAGCGACTGAAAAAATACATTAGGTCTTACAAGTGTTGGGTGTTTCTTGGGAGCGTGGTGGTTTGGTAGATGAGATTTTGGGCCATCAGCATACCATGTATCTTGAAGACTTGAAAAACCTTAAGCCTCGTGCCATTAAAACCCGGAATTTCGTCACATGCCGCAGATTCGGAGGCTGTCCTCTCCAAACATAAGCGGCAAGCTGGCAAAATCGCCCGGCAATGCCAGGAGATACTCCTTCAATCCCAGGACATCCTTGCCTGCGTGAGCGGCGAAACAAAAATGCCGAGCAAAGTGCCCAGGATATCATGTCTTACAAAGTCCCGGCAGCTGTCCATGGAACATGGCGGCACACATGTTTAGCCATAAAACCGCTGTCCGCATCAATCAAATTCAACGCAAACAAACACCGGATGAAAAACAGGATGTCGGACAAGGCATCTGTTTCCCTATTTGGGTTTAGCCAGGCTCCACTCGGGGATTGGGGAACTTGCCACACTCCACACCGACCTTGCTCTGCAGCCCTGCGCGCTTCCGCTAAGAGCGCGCAAAGCGCCACATCCGGCGGCAGCATCGGCGCTTGGAGCATGTCCTGCCTTAGCGTTGCGCAACTGCCAGCTGCGGTTTCGTATGCAAACATCCGTCACTCCGTCACGGCGCATGTCAAGGGCGAACATAATCTTCAATAGCCACCATGGTCACAGTGATTCACGCAGCAGAATTCATGATGCTTAAGCAACCTTGAAGTCATGGGCTTTCATCCTTTCTCGAGCTCAGTTTAGCCACTTGTGAGCTGTCCAATGCGGCAGTTGGCAGGACAAGGTCAGTGGGTCCTGCGCCCGTGCTCCCGGAGCTGCGCACCCCGAGAAACCAGCCAAGGATTCGAACAACCCTGGCGCATTGACATCTGAACCTCCGTCCGTCACATGTTGGGCTCTGGGTTCATGGCGCCAGTTTGCCAGACAGCACCGCGGCGCGCGGCACCTTGGCGGGCCACACCCGGGTGACAACGTGCCAAATAGGAGTCGTTGAAAAACGGCCACGTTACCCTATTCCATTTTTTTTTTGGGGGGGGATGGATTGTGGAGTCTTTCGAGTTTGTGTCAAGATCCAACATGGGAATGTGCTGTTTTGCGCCATGTTTCATTTGTGCTCCCGAAAACTGAATTTAGAGAGCGTGCCACCAAAGAGGCGCACAACACTGGTCCCACATGCACGCCTAACACGGCGATGCCGGACGCCGGTTTGCTCCAACAAACATGACTTCGAAATGCGCAACCAATCCCATCAATACCGATTCCTGTCGCTCATGGTGGCCACCAATGGCGCCTATGCCTAACACACTACCGGTCGCTTATCGTGCCTTTGCATCAGAATATGGGATACTATGGGTGTAGCGTCGCTTTATTCAGCGGCGATTTGCAACAGGTCTACAGTTCTACATGTAAAGAGCTCCGGGTTTTCATCATGGTGAGTTTGCAGAGCCCCAGTGTCAGCTTGCCCCAGGCCGCATTCGCCTCGGGCCCCCGGCGCGCGCCAAGCATTCGCCGTGGCTGATGGGCGACGTCACCACCAGACCGTTGCCGGTGGTATTGATTTTCCGCTTCCGCAGGGCTGGGTGCGTTGACGCACCGGCGTCCTGGCGCTGGGTGAGGTTGGGGTCCGTAATTGTTGGTTGCAACGTGTGTTGTTTCCTTGTCATTTTGGGTGCGGTTTTCCTTGAACATTTTTGCAAGTTGCTTTTTCACTCTGTGTGTTTTTTTTTGAAAAAATGGCACGCGTTGCCTGCCAGCCGAGCTGTTTTTTGGTTTTAAAATTCTCTTTCAAATCCATGTCAAGTCCCGTTGGTTCGCGCGCCTAAGCGCCTTTTTGTCACGGCAGGTAGGGAACACGGCAGGAAGAGAACCCAAGTCCGGGCAGCGTTGCAAGTCGGGCAAGGGCAAGGAAGGAGCTAAGCTGCAGCGCGCAACAATGGACATAAGCACTGCGAAGGGCCTCAAGCGCTTTCTGGCGCACGCAAGAAGGCGGAGAAAGAAATGGTCAACCAGCCTGGAACGGACAGAGCTCAAGTTGGGTGCGCAGCTCTGCGAGCAAACTGTCCGCAACAAAAAGGGTGGCCTGGCGCTGCCGCCCTCGTGGGTGGAATGTGCAAGCAGGGCGCGGCCATCGAAGCCCTCGCGCAAAGGAGCGGGCTCGGCACAATCCAAAATTTCGTTGGAGGACGCCAGGCTGCTGCGGCTTAGCCAGGGGGTCGGGGCTCGACTCGCGCTGATGCAAAAAGGTGTGCAGAGAGAAACAAATTGGGGTCCTCACCTGCTCAAGTGGCTGGCGAGGGGCGGGGGGGCGGCGGCCTCCTCACTCAGCAGCGGGTTGGAGAGGCCAAGAGCCTCTGCGAAGGCGTGGTGGGCGGCAGACGCCAGCAGGGCGGACCAACAGGCAACGAATGCGGAGACAAAAGGATAGCCGGCGTGAAGTGAGCTCGCGCACGAGCGAGGCTGCGGAGGAAGCTGCCACTGGCCCCAACCTGGCGGCACCGCTCGGAGCGCAGGCAACGGCGGAGAAGCCGTCAAGCAAAGGAGCCCAGTTCAGAGTCCGCCGCACCCATCCGCGGCAAGCAAGCAAGCAAGCAAGCGAGCGAGCGAACGAGAGAGCGAGAGCGAGCGAGCGAAGAGCGAGCGAGAGCAAGCAAGCAAGAGCAAGCAAGCAAGCAAGAGCAAGCAAAAGCAAGCAAAAGCAAGGAAAAGCAAGCAAGCAAGCAAGCAAAAGCAAGCAAGCAAAAAAGCAAGCAAGCAAGCAAGCAAGCAAGCAAGCAAGCAAGCAAGCAAGCAAGCAAGCAAGCAAGCAAGCAAGCAAGCAAGCAAGCAAGCAAGCAAGCAGGCAGGCAGGCAGGCAGGCAAGCAGGCAAGCAGGCAAGCAGGCAAGCAGGCAAGCAGGCAAGCAAGCAAAAGCAAAAGCAAGCAGGCAAGCAAGCAAAAGCAAAAGCAAGCAAGCAAAAGCAAGCAAGCAAGCAAAAGCAAGCAAGCAAAAGCAAGCAAGCAAGCAAAGCAAGCAAGCAAAAGCAAGCAAGCAAAAGCAAGCAAGCAAAAGCAAGCAAGCAAAAGCAAGCAAGCAAAAGCAAGCAAGCAAAAGCAAGCAAACAAAAGCAAGCAAGCACAAGCAAGCAAGCAAAAGCAAGCAAGCAAAAGCAAGCAAAAGCAAGCACAAGCAAGCACAAGCAAGCACAAGCAAGCACAAGCACAAGCAAGCACAAGCACAAGCAAGCAAGCACAAGCACAAGCAAGCAAGCACAAGCACAAGCAAGCAAGCACAAGCACAAGCAAGCACAAGCACAAGCAAGCACAAGCACAAGCAAGCACAAGCACAAGCAAGCACAAGCACAAGCAAGCACAAGCACAAGCAAGCACAAGCACAAGCAAGCACAAGCACAAGCAAGCAAAAGCAAGCAAAAGCAAGCAAAAGCAAGCAAAAGCAAGCAAAAGCAAGCAAAAGCAAGCAAAAGCAAGCAAAAGCAAGCAAAAGCAAGCAAAAGCAAGCAAAAGCAAGCAAAAGCAAGCAAAAGCAAGCAAAAGAAAGCAAAAGCAAGCAAAAGCAAGCAAAAGCAAGCAAAAGCAAGCAAAAGCAAGCAAAAGCAAGCAAAAGCAAGCAAAAGCAAGCAAAAGCAAGCAAAAGCAAGCAAAAGCAAGCAAAAGCAAGCAAAAGCAAGCAAAAGCAAGCAAAAGCAGCAACAGCAAGCAAAAGCAAGCAAAAGCAAGCAAAAGCAAGCAAAAGCAAGCAAAAGCAAGCAAAAGCAAGCAACAGCAAGCAAAAGCAAGCAACAGCAAGCAAAAGCAAGCAAAAGCAAGCAAAAGCAAGCAAAAGCAAGCAAAAGCAAGCAAAAGCAAGCAAAAGCAAGCAAAAGCAAGCAAAAGCAAGCAAAAGCAAGCAAAAGCAAGCAAAAGCAAGCAAAGGCAAGCAAAGGCAAGCAAAGGCAAGCAAAGGCAAGCAAAGGCAAGCAAAGGCAAGCAAAGGCAAGCAAAGGCAAGCAAAGGCAAGCAAAAGCAAGCAAAAGCAAGCAAAAGCAAGCAAAAGCAAGCAAGCAAAAGCAAGCAAGCAAAAGCAAGCAAGCAAAAGCAAAAGCAAGCAAACGCAAGCAAAAGCAAGCAAACGCAAGCAAAAGCAAGCAAAAGCAAGCAAAAGCAAGCAAAAGCAAGCAAAAGCAAGCAAAAGCAAGCAAAAGCAAGCAAAAGCAAGCAAAAGCAAGCAAAAGCAACCAAAAGCAACCAAAAGCAAGCAAAAGCAAGCAAAAGCAAGCAAAAAAACCAAGCAAAAGCAAGCAAAAGCAAGCAAAAGCAAGCAAACGCAAGCAAAAGCAAGCAAAAGCAAGCAAAAGCAAGCAAAAGCAAGCAAGCAAGCAGGCAGGCAGGCAGGCAAGCAAGCAAGCAAGCAAGCAAGCAAGCAAGCAAGCAAGCAAGCAAGCAAGCAAGCAAGCAAGCAAGCAAGCAAGCAAGCAAGCAAGCAAGCAAAAGCAAGCAAAAGCAAGCAAAAGCAAGCAAAAGCAAGCAAAAGCAAGCAAAAGCAAGCAAAACAAGCAAAAGCAAGCAAAAGCAAGCAAAAGCAAGCAAAAGCAGGCAAAAGCAAGCAAAAGCAAGCAAAAGCAAGCAAAAGCAAGCAAAAGCAAGCAAAAGCAAGCAAAAGCAAGCAAAAGCAAGCAAAAGCAAGCAAAAGCAAGCAAGCCACCAAAAGCAAGCACGCACAAAGCAAGCAGGCACAAAGCAAGCAAGCACAAAGCAAGAAGACAAAGCAAGCAAGCACAAAGCATGAAGCACAAAGCAGAAGCAAAAGCAAGCAAGCACAAAGCAAGCAAGGCACAAAGCAAGCAGCACAAAGCAAGCAAGCACAAAGCAAGCAAGCACAAAGCAAGCAAGCACAAAGCAAGCAAGCAAAAGCAAGCAAGCAAGACAAAGGCAAGCAAGCACAATAGCAAGCAGAGCACCAAAGCAAGCAAGCAAAAGCAAGCAAAATCAAGCAAAAGCAAGCAAAAGCAAGCAAAAGCAAGCAAAAGCAAGCAAAAGCAAGCAAAAGCAAGCAAGCAAAAGCAAGCAAGCAAAAGCAAGCAAGCAAGCAAGCAAGCAAGCACAAAGCAAGCAAGCACAAAGCAAGCAAGCACAAAGCAAGCAAGCACAAAGCAAGCAAGCACAAAGCAAGCAAAGCAAGCAAAAAGCAAGAAAAAGCAAGCAAAAGCAAGCAAAGCAAGAAGCAAAAGCAAGCAAGCAAACGCAAGCAAGCAAGCAAGCAAGCAACAAGCACAAAAGCAAGGCAGGCAAGCAAGCAAGCAAGCACAAGCAAGCAAGCAAGCGCAAGCAAGCAAGCAAGCGCAAGCAAGCAAGCAAGCGCAAGCAAGCAAGCACAAGCAAGCAAGCGCAAGCAAGAAAGCACAAGCAAGCAAGCAAGCAAGCAAGCAAGCAAGCAAGCAAGCAAGCAAGCAAGCAAGCAAGCAAGCAAGCAAGCAAGCAAGCAAGCAAGCAAGCAAGCAAGCACAAAGCAAGCAAGCACAAAGCAAGCAAGCACAAAGCAAGCAAGCACAAAGCAAGCAAGCACAAAGCAAGCAAGCACAAAGCAAGCAAGCACAAAGCAAGCAAGCACAAAGCAAGCAAGCACAAA